ACTGCTGTACTAGTAAGTCACAGCACACCAGCATTCGCCTGCCCTTCCTCGAGATACACATCAACAGGCCCCATCATACTATCTAGCGCAATTCTTGAATGACGCCGCTTCGCTCTCTCCTAGCCTCTTGTCGTTCGTCGTCGTCCCCTACGATGAGGTGGAAAGGGTGGGGGTTGAAAGAAAAGTTACGGAATATCAAACACAAATACTCAAGCATCGTTGTGGTTGTTGTTGTTGTTGTTGTTGTTGTTGTTGTTGTTGTTGTTGTTGTTGTTGTTGTTGTTGTTGTTGTTGTTGTTGTTGTTGTTGTTGTTGTTGTTGTTGTTGTTGTTGTTGTTGTTGTTGTTGTTGTTGTTGTTGTTGTTGTGGTGGTGGTGGTGGTGGTCGCGGCGTGTAAGATACAGACACGATGCCTGGCCAGTCCGTGCCAACCACTAGTATTCGATCAGCGTTAACCTGTGATCGTGCGGCAGCCACATTGCACAGAGTCAGAATGGGCTTGGCACAAAGGGATCAGACCAATCAACCCACTGACAGACAAACAAACAAACAAACAAACAAGCAAACACACACACACACACACACACACACACACACACTGGGGTTCATACCAGGAAGGATTTGAGGAGGATGGGCTGGCGATGAACAGTGTGCATTCGCTGGCCAGTGGTGCTGTCCCAAATGACAAGGCGGCGGTGGTCGCCCCCTGTCACCAGCCGCGTTCCAGTAAACTGCACACGGCATGGCAACAGTGCGGTGAGTGCCAGGGTTAACGCATTGTATCTTCCACCACAGAACAGCACTGACGCCAACACCAGCACAACACCGAGATCAACCTGAACGTGTCGAACGACGCCAATGTGGCTGCCAAGACGGTGCAGGCAGATGCCTGTGCGCGCGTCCCACACAAACACCTGCATGGACGAAGAGGCAATGCGTGTGAACAGATGGGTGACTCAAATGAGCGGAGAAGAGGGTGCTTGAGCTGTGTGCGTGCGTGTGTGCTTGCGTGCGCGTGTGCTTTTCGCAATATTGATGACAACGTACCTCGGAGCGCGCGTCGCCTGATGCAATGCTTGTGCCATTTGTGTCGACACAATACTGCCAGCATGTGGAGGGTATGTGTGTGTGCGTGCGTGTGTGTGTCGATACAATGTTCAACGAGACGCGCAATGGGCAGAACAGCGAATGCATGTTCGTACTGGGCGTTCGACATCGAACCACAGACAGACAGACAGACAGACAGACAGACAGACAGACAGACAGACAGACAGACAGACAGACAGACAGACACACACACACACACACACACGCACGCACGCACACGCACACACAGACAGACGCACCACTTCCGCTTGGTGTCCGACGAGGCGCCGCCAAAGGTCACCCGTTTCTGGATCAAACACACACACGCAGGCATCGCCACCTCCCGTGGCAAGGACTGCGCCGGCACAGGCAGATGCAAACACACCTGTGGCAACACAGAGTGGAAGGACGAGGTGACAGGACGGTGAGGGTGCACTGGTTTACGTTTGGGATATGCGCATATGATGGTGGTGTGTGCTTGTGTGCCTGTGTGGTGGCGTGCAAATGTACACGTGTGTTGAGCGGGAGAGTGTCAAGCCGTACTCATGTCTTCAACACCTTCAGCGTGGGCGTGTTGGGCGTTCATGAGAACAAGGCGGTGGGTGTTGGTGGACACGGTGTGCGATGAGGGTGTTGAGGCGTGGGACAGTAGCGACCACAGCCTGTTGTCGACGCAACGCAGCAGATTGCAAGAGTGCGATGCAAGAGATGAATGACCGTCGCGCAAGCAGCAGGAAAGGCCATGGTCCAGCAGGAGCTTGTCAGTGTACACACACACACACACACACACGCACACACACACACACACACACACACACACACACACACACACATTGGAAGCAGACGGCAGCAGGTGCTACGCACTTGACTTGGCCGTCCCAGCTTGTGGTGAAGAAGCCGTTGGGCGTGCACAGGATGCGGTTCACTTCCGCCTGATGCGCAACTGTCGTCGCGAGCGTGAGCCCTGTGTGCACGTCAGACACCTTGATGACCCTGGGACAGCACAAAGGAAACAAAGCAAACAAGGGGGCAGCATCAGTGGGCATGCATGCACGTGACAAACAGTGAGGCTGCTCTCAACTACGTGCAGAGTTGGAGAGCCGGTCATTGTCATCCGTGTGCACCGCCAAGGCCTTGCATCACATCGTCACGTCCTCGCACACACACACACACACACACACACACACACACACACACACACACACACGCACACAAGCACACACACACACACACACACACACACACACACACACACACACACAAGCGCACCCTCTGTCGTCGCCAGAGATGATGTAACGGTCAGCGACGGCGACGGAAACGAGGCCCGCATCGTGTGCAACGAGCGCTATCACACCCCATTCCCGACAATCGTACACACGTACCTGCTCACAGAATACAGCAATGCACGCAACAACAACAACAACAACAACAACAACAACAACAACAACAACAACAACAACAACAACAACAACAACAACAACAACAACAACAACAACAACAACAACAACAACAACAACAACAACAACAACACAGAACACAGAACAATACACACAGCAATTGTATGAAGGTGTGCGCGCCTAGCAGGTGAGGGGAGGGGCGGTGCTCACACATACTACAGAGCTTGCATCGTGTTCACTGCAAGGAGAGGAGGGGGACAGAATGTCCACACCAGTGCATCCTCTGAAGCGGTGACGAGGAAGTTGCCTGTAGAAGTGTGGGCTGCAGCCAGCGCCGTAATCTCCTCCTCTGCCTCTTGTAGATGATTCACAATCTCCAGCGAGGATTGATCACATACAACCACTATTGATTCGTGCGTGCGTGCGTGTGTGTGTGTTTGTGTGGTGTGCGTGTGAGTGTGTGTGTGTGTGTGTGTGTGTGTGTGTGTGTGTATGTGTGTGTGTGTGTGTGTGTTTGTGTGAACACCAGTCCATCGGCCGGACAGAATTCAGCATGGAATACATGACGCCATGTTATTTAGGTACGCAATTCTCACACAAACTCTTACCAGTTCCTGCCGTCGTGCCTACGATGAGGAATTCTGGTACCGCAGAGCAAGAGGGCCCACAGTGTGAGCAGGGCAAGCACAACGGAGTGTCACAGGCACACACTGCGAACAAGACGGACGGGCATGAGAGGCAGGTGGGCACCCACCTCCAAGCAGGATAGCAGCTGTCACAGCGCCAGATCCCAGAGGGTGGCGCGTGATGCTACAACGCCCTTGCCGCCAGTTGTTCTCAACGCGAGTTAAGCTAGTGGAGTTGGTGTGGAGAGGAGACGACAGCAACACTTGAATGTGAAACCCAAGCTTAGCACAGCAAGGCAGGAAGGCAGATGAATAGGAAGGCAGGAAGGTAAGCCGGCAGGTAAGGATACATACGTCTCTGTCACACACACACACATACACAGACATACACACATACACGCGCGCGCATTGGAAGGAAAACGCACTGGCGTACGAGGCCAATGTGCTTGGCGGTCGATCTGCCACACCAGCGTCGCATGCCATCCAAGGGTGGGTAGTCAGCTAGGTCTCGGATCTGTTCACGGTGGAAATACTCCGACCTGTGTCGGCACCATGACATGTACATGTAAGATTGTGAGTACTCCAGCCAAGGATGGCGGACAGCGCGAGTGGGAGACGACCCTGTGTTTGCCCCTGTATTTGCTTGCGTGCATTTAGGTGCATGGAACCGCACCTTGCCACCAAGTGTTGCCAGAGTGCATCCGTTCCAAGGACAACTTTCCGCCACATGTAACACACTTGACTGCATCTCACTAGATCTGTGGCACAAGCGGGAGAAAGCGAACCACAGTGAGTTGTGGCGAATGGCGGAGGACGAGTGAAAGGGAACAAGCAGTGATGCGATGAAGCACGGGCTTGTTCGCACGCACAAGACCATCTTCTGACCTGGCAGCTCCAGCCACGAAAAGACATGCTCCAGGATATCAGATGAGAGATGGACGTCGGCGTCTTCCTCATCCTCCTTCTCTGCATTCACTCTTAAGCCAGCGACTGCGCTCAATGCGAGTTCCCCTTCCGCCTCCTCTTCTTCCTCAGCGGTGGTGTGGTCCACTGTTGCACTTGGCGTTGTCATCGTCATCGTTGTTGTTTGTTTGTGTCTCAATCGCTAACTTACCATCGAATCAATTCACACAATAACAAACATTGCACACACAAAGATCAGCGCATGGTGACCAGTTCTTCCGACGAGGTGGGGTGGATGGCAACGCACGAGTCAAACTGGGCCTGTGGTGTGTCAGTGTTGGTGTGTGTGTGTGTGTGTGTGTGTGTGTGTGTGTGTGTGTGTGTGTGTGTGTGTGTGTGTGTGTGTGTGTGTGTGTGTGTGTGTGTGTGTGTGAGTTCGGAGGAGGAATGTCAACTTAGTTTGGCTTGCAGCTGGACTGCAAGGCAGCATGGCACTTTCAGACCTCTAGCATATCAGCAACAACAACAACAGCAGCAGCAGCAGCAACAGCAACACTCTCAACCACAACGACAACGTTTCCGCCATGTCCCTTCATCTCCCTTGCATCCCTCACGCTCACCTTTGTTGCGCCCATCTTCATGGCAACGCCAAAGCCCTGCAGCATCTCATCACAGCCAAGACCAACCATGTGCAGTCCAACAACCTGTGCGTGTGTGTGTGTGTGTGTGTGTGTGTGTGTGTGTGTGTGTGTGTGTGTGTGTGTGTGTGTGTGTGTGTGTGTGTGTAAAGTGTGTTGTGTTGTGTGAGCGAGAAAGTTGTTCATCGACCAATGCAATTGCCACAGGACAGCATGCGCTGGAGTGCAACGCCGCAACACTGCACCCCATGTGGTGTGTTCATACCCGCTCCTCGGGGCCGGCGCAGACAAGCTTCATCGCCGTCGTCGTCTTCCGCTCCATCATCGCTGGCAGCGCGCGCAGGGGTGAA